AAATAAAATATTTGAGATCTACTTACTCTTAAAGGCAATTAACTCAGCAATTGGCACATTTTACGATTGCTTGTTTACTGCCACAACATTTAGAGAAGGCATCAGGTCATAAATACACAAATATACAGACCAAATTGAGGAGGTCAGCAAAAGGGTTTTCTGACAACAGGGTGATTAGTAAGGAGGTCGTTAAGGGGTTTGTGATATAGTTGATGACAAATGAAGGATAAATGAGTAATGAATGATTGTAGAAACCCCGGGGGAGCCCCCCTGTACCCTGGGCAGTGGTTAGGACAACATGCCGGACATAGCTGACCCTCTGGTGCCATGTGACCACCCTGGCCAGCTGTCCAGCTGAGAGGGTGGGGCATGGGGTGAACCGACCAGCACTAAAGAAGGCGATTCAAGTATACATTTTTTTTAAAGCAATGATTGCATATTAACACAAATTACTACTATTAATTAGGTTGTCCAAATACACATGGTTTTTACTACTTGGTAGCCAACATCTTGAAATAATGGAATGAAATATCATTTCAACAAATATTGTGGATGGATGAAATCAGATCCTTTCTAACCCAGTTCTCTTAAGATTAGTGGGTGTGGCCAATCAACAATCGAAACGTCAATCTTGAAAAAATAACATTGCAATAATCACAGTCTATCATTTACTACTTTACAGGTAGATAATATCAACTACCTGATTTGAATATATTTTTCAGGTGATGTGACCACTTAATGCCTATAATACATGTCAGCCAAGGAAGCACAATACGGAGTCATCCTACTTATTAACAGGAAACATAATTTCTTTTAATTGCCAACTGATAAAAGACCAACCCTTGGAACAGACTGTCTCTGATGAAGAAATCTAGTCATTGTCTAATAGTAATTGTCAAATATTACAGCAGAAAACAACGTTATTTAAAAAAAGTCAATGATCTGAAGTTAAAAGAGACAAGAGAAGATACAACCGTTCGTATATTTACATAGACACGTTTGGTTCCGCCTTCTGACCATGACAAATACCTGGGGGATGCACCTGTACCTACCTGTACCTGTCCCCACCTTAAGAAACCTTAAGTGTCTCTGGCGGCAATACGGCTTTGTTTAACCTCTGTTCCGAGGACACGTAACGTCATCAATTATTACGATCGTGACGGCAAGTTTACACGTCGGCGACCTGTTTTATACTAGAGGAATTTTTACAAATTAACGACAAGGTGTTGCTTGTATACTTCCTGCAAGCTACACCTACAACAAAAACTGCACTCTTTGAGATCTCGGGCGTATAAGACGTCTTATTTTAGCCAGATTCCTTCTAGATGCCTTACCTCTCTCCTTGAGTTTTCCCCCAGGTGAAATTTACGCTGAAAAACGGAGCAGACAATTAACACTTTCTGCCGAGAAAGATTCGTGCCAGAGAGTTTACTTCTACTTCCTCATTGGCAGGTGACCTCATGTCGTGACCCCACATCACGTGACATTTTAAGCCAAATAAACAACAAAACAACAACAATAACACTTCATCTTCTAGATGTATCCAGTAAAAATATTACTTATCTTACCGATGTGATGAAATAAGACAAAAAACGAGGCGTAAGTATTTTATATTGTGTTCTTGAGGACGTTGACCTTTGACCGAACCAGCATGGCGGATCCCGCGAAATCTGAGCTCGAGGTTTGTTTTCACTTTTTATGATTATATTTGAGCTTCTTTGTCGATATAATCCACAACGAATGAACAGTGTGTGTTGTAAGAGAGAATAGCTACATTGCCTTGTATTTTGATGAAGCTATTGTCCAGATCTGCGTCTTAAGCGCATATAATATATAACGTTATAATTTATAAGATTGGTGTGGACTTCTTAGTAGATTTTGTTTAGTTTTGCCTAGTTTTTTTTTTTTTTGAAGAAATTAACTTTTTTAGCCGGCCTTGCACTGTAACGAGTGACTCACAACCTAACTGAATACTATTATAACTACATATCTCCATAATTTTTTTTTCTGGTGGTTTCTATCCCCCTCCCACCTTTCATCAACAGCACACAGAACTAACATCATATAAATTATGTACTCATGTCAGTCTTGTCACCTCTTGCTTGGCTATAATCTTTTGTTGGTAGTCTTGCACATTTTGTAAGGGCCATGCGTACAAGACTGCAGACCACCAAACTGCTTGTATCATCATTTCATTGGGATGTATACCGGGTTATCTGTCAACATTCGAATGCAACCATAGGAGCGATTGCCATGGCCGCGCATTGGCGTCACAGCCAGTCGGCTGAATAAAAGACTTGGTTGTGTGAAAAGAGTCTCTTTACTCAGTGACTTACCAACCTGATGAAACTATTCACGGATGTGACACTGGAGAGTTGTCATAAACCAGTGCTGTTCTGACAGGGACAGGGAATTTTCCCGACCAGCCACGTAACCCCTGCTTCTCCTATTGGGTCAGTTAGTCCTCACTACTCAGAAATTGGGCTGGTCTCAATCATGATGTTTCTGACTCAGGGAGAAGAGTTGCTGTTACAGTTCGATACCACTATGTCTCGAAGTGGCCAAATTGGCCTTGCATTGAGCGACACCGTTAAAAAAAAAAAAAGCTCTCCAGTGCCACTGACGAAAGTTAGTGGATGCTACCTGAAATGTCTGACTTTTTCCATCTGTTCTGTTGTTCTGTAGGGCGTTGCCATGGAGACAGAAGGTGAGGAGGTAGTGGATGTGGAGTCTGATGTGGAGGTGACGTGTTACTGTGGGAAAGGTCGGGACGGACTCATGTACTTCTGTGATGGCTGCAAACAGTGGTACCACTCAGGTATAGAAAAATAGTAGTTATATTCTTACTTAAAAGATGGGCCATGAAGGCATCCAATTGCAATTTCAGGTTACAGCATTTTTGCCTCACAGGTATCAATATGGGATAGAGTTGATTCAACTTACTACTGGTAGGAATGACCAGAAAATTGACTTTGAAAATCTCTAATTTGCCACTTTGAAATTGCATGTGATATTTGCTATTGTGCATGGAAGACCGAGTAGCACTCACATTGCACAAACATAGAGTAATTCAACATACATAAAAAAGGATGACATGAGAACAAGAGTTTGTTCTCTATAACTGTTAGTAGTTCCTAAGACTTTAACGTTATTCTTGTATCATTCTATCCTATGTATTATGTTGATCAGTATGATATACGTATAACATCATACTCCGATGTATGGATTTAGCCCCATGGGCATGAACATGCAAATCAGTGAATATTCATATTCCAGGTTGTCTGAAGACAAACCGTCCCAGTTGTTTGGAGGGAGACAACTTCTTCAGGTTCACCTGTGCCAGGTGTGACGAGAAGGGACAGGAGGGGTTTGAGAGGGTCCGCCTCACATGGTAAGGATGTTCAAAACAAGTGAGGTCAATGACCTAAACCATACTGCTGTCACCATGGTAACTGGTGCTGTAGCAGTCTGGTTTAGGTCATTAACCTTATTTGTTTGGAACAGAAGAAGAAACAGAGCAAAAACAATAATGTTGTCCTTCTGCAAAGGTAAACATAATCATTTAAAAAGGCATCACACACAAATGGAAGGCCCAGTTTTATGATTTCAAAATTTAGTTCTTAATTGATCTGTAGTTTGATTAATTGATTGGTTTATTTTTCCTACAGGCAGCAGGTTGTCGTCCTGACCATGTACAACCTGCAGCTGGCAGGGAGAGGGAAGAAGGGGTACTTCCGCTGGAAGGAGGATATCTGCTCCTTCATCGAGAAGAACTGGACTCTTCTCCTTGGAGACAGGTGATCTATACACCTTTATTTACCTGTGAAAGAAGATTGTTTTTACCTGAGGCCTAGGAAAAAATGTTGTGTTTCCTGTTTCCTGACCGACTATAGAAAAGCCTGCCAGCCCTAGCCTTTTTTTGTGGACCCCTGTGAGGGACATAAATTTTTCGAGGTGATCAGCCTTTTCTAGCTCCATTTTCTGACACCTGAGTGATGATCATGAAACATCCAATTTTCCAACACTGACATTGAACATTAGATCACTAGAGATCATCAAAGTCTAAAAAAAAAACCCAACTTTTTTCTAGACTAAAACAAGAAACACAACAGTTTTTTCGTGGCCTGAGTCAATCAGTTGGTGCGTTGCTTTTATGTGAATGTACAATGGTTGTTCTAGGGATGAGTAACTCTGCCTTTGAACCTGGAGGTTGAGAGTTAGAATCATGTCCTTTGTTTCTCACTCTATGTTTTTGTTTGACACAGGAAGAAGACCTCGACGTGGTGGAGTACCGTTGCCGGGGTGTTGTCCGTAGGTAACCACCAGGTGTTCCGCTCAGGAGCGCGGGAGTTTAACGAGCCGGCGTGGTGGGGCCTGATCGAGAACAAGCCTCCCGTCTACTGGCCTGAAAACTCAGGTCTGTGGGAGTATTTTTTTCTAACAATTAGATATAAAGTTTTGTCTTTTTATGCTCACAGAAGGAAAACATTGTTTTTGCACTGTTTCCTCTTCTTCTTCTCCAAACCAATAAGGTCAATGACCTGAACCAGATGCCTGTCACCATGGTAACTAGTGTTTGGTTACATCATGTTGCAATCTTATAGCAGGAGGGATTTAGACTCCTGGCTGACCATATCTATGTGTAATGTCTAACCCCCAGTTGTGGGGAAAAATAGACATAAACCCTTGTCCTGCTAGCATTTTTTTCACAATATCTTTCAATAATTTCATGTCTCAAATGCTTAATTAGGTCATAAACCCCTTTTTTTGCCCTGCAGTGGCATAGTTACTTCCTCATTCATTGCGTTTTGCTGCAGTGTGATGAATTGCACGAGAAATACCCCCAAATCGTACCTATACAGAGTGCTCTATAGATGGTACTGTGTGTGCAAAACTACAATTGTTGGGCTCCGCAGGACAAGGGTTAAACTGGATAGAGAAAGAGAGAGAGATAATTATGTCTGCTGCTTCATCTTCCCCAGGTGAGGCCCCGCCCAAGCAGGTGTTCAAGCGGCCGCGGAGAGACATGTTTGAGCCGACTATCCGAGTGGAGGGACTGAGGTGTCGCAAAAAACAGATGTCCATCCAGTCAGCCATGGAGATCAAGGAGAAGAGGTCCAGAACACTGGTATGGAGAGGGTCCATTTTTTCATCAATTTTTTATTGCATTTTTATGTGCATTATACATAATGACAATGTAAACATACAAGAACAAAGCAAAAACATGATAATACATAAATAATCCTAATACATAAACATACATTACATGTGAAAGATAAGGGTACAGGTACACTTGATGTTCATGATAAGGTACATTCGCACTGGTACAGGTACAGATACAGAATGTTACAGGTACAGGAACAGGTATGGGTAAGAGTACAGGTACGGGTAACAGTACAGGTAAAGGTACAGGTATGGGTAACAGTACAGGTACAGGTACAGTTAATAGTACAGGTGCAGGTACAGGTACAGTTACTGGTACAGGTACAGTTACTGGTACAGGTACAGGTACAGTTACTGGTACAGGTACAGGTACAGTTACTGGTACAGGACAGGTACAGGCACAGGCACAGGTACAGGTACTGGATACACAACCTCATTCCAGACTATACCAGCACACAGGAGGCAGTTGTTATACACACATGTTGATTATATTTTACAGGAAGCAAAGGACATCAGGAAAGCCAAGAAAGGGACATCAGTGTCACCTCAGGTCAGCACTTCTGACATTTCTTTTCCTGACCTTCTGTTGTTTTCATCTGTGAAACAGTCCATGAAAGTCTGGTCTGTATGTTGTATCATACTGTCATTCACTTATAAATTAGCAAAATTCACGGTAGCAAAATTTCCGACAGTCTGAGAAAAGTGGACATGTTCCCGGAACTATACATTCACAGTGGCGACAGGTGCAGGAAAAAGAAAGTCCAGGAATTATTTGTTGATGGTAATGATAAGTTCACGATACAGAATTGATGGTAAAAACAGTGAGCATAAAAGTACTGTGAAAAAATCAAGAATCACAGAGTGTTAAGTTTGTACTGACATTTTTTTTACATAGTACAGTCCTCTTTTAATTTTTTTCTGGTCATCTCATTTCTTATATTGCCAGTTCAGTAAACTACGAAATAATGGTAGCAAAGGAAGGTATAACTACTAGACATGAAGTACACAACTGTCTGTTTTCTGTAGGCTGGTTCTACCTCATCAGACACATCACCAAACGTGTCTCGTGAAGACCTGGCCACGCCCACCCCAACACCATCAGATGACCTCGTGTCAGAGTTCTCAGAGACAGAGGTTTGATTATCTGTGTTCTGCTCATCATGAAAATATTCCCAATTAATTAATAAGTTGACCAATCAACCATTGACTCATATAATAAGTTGTTTGATCAATCAATGTACATGTACATACACCTATTTCCTCCCTGAACTCAGATGACATTACCGGTAGTACGTAGATTTGCTTAGGGACAACAACAAAAAAGATATTCCTATGACTTGGCTCAGTAGTTGACTTGTATCTGTTGTTGTTCAGATGTTTGCAGGTCTGGACTCCCGTTCTGCCTGTAGTACACCACTGAGTGGCTTCCTGACAGAGAGAGACCTCAGACCAGATGGTAAGTCAACAAAACTACACTAAAAACTAAGTCTATGAGTTGATGGAAACTTTTGTCAATATCAAAACATATCTATCAAAGACTGTCATGTTTGTGAGGTGTATAGCCCAATCCTAAAGCCCCGCTCATCGCTGTCAGAACATATAAATGAACATAGAACAGAACATAGAAATATTTGATGGACATGCAGCCGCTCTCTCATTGGTCGAACCGCTAATTGCCACTCTCTCATTGGTTGAACATCTAATTCAGTAATTGTGATGGACATTCGGGATCGGTCTATTAGTAATGTAACTACATGACTGTTTTGTTTTCCCTCAGAAACCCTTCCTGAAGCAATACTCAGTGATGATGCAGACTTGGAACTTGACCCTGGCATTGAGCTCCCCCCCTCCAACCTCTTCAGCTCCCCCACCCCCCCTCCTGCAACCCCCCTGGAAGGGGAGGGGGGCAAAGATGCAAAGAAGACATCTACAGAGGAAAGTGAAGAAGGGGAGAGTGAGGGAGAGGAAGAACAGAAAGTAAAGGAGGAAGTGATAGAGAAAGAAGAGGAAGTTGAAGATGAAAAAAGTGGAGTAAAGAAGAGAAAAGAGGAAGATGAGGAGGAAAAGGAGGAACCTAAAAAACCAAGGTAAGAAAAATTATCATTTCCTTAATGCTTTCTTACTGTATTGTAACTTTTGCTTTGCCACAAGAAACACAAAATTTGCTACTTAAATGATTGTTAAATGTTTTGCATATTTTTGGTATGTATAAATTTTTTCAGGCCCATGTATAACTTTGCCATGATCTATAATTTTTTTTATTCTTTCACATATACAAAACAGAAAATGAATCATCCAGCGCACAATAATATCAACGCAATTCAAAATCAAATTCAAATTCCAAACTAATATAAAATAATGTATAATCTTTAAGACATTATATTAATTTTGCAAAAGTCCAACTTCTACATTAAACTATATTCTTCTTGAAATTATACTTTTCTTCTGTCACATGCAAATGAAGAAACGATATGATCTCCCCAGGTACGTAGCCATGAGCCTGTACGAGGAGAGACAGCTGCTGCGGCACCTGAATGCGCACCTGTCAGCAGTGGACAACATTCCTCAGGCACGCCGGCTGCGCAGGAAGCTGCTGGTCAGACAGGTGTGTGTCGAACCAGGTGTCTTAATCTCAACTTAAAGCCAACTGTACAAAAGCCAACTGGTGGACTGAAAGGAACTACGATTTGTGATTTGCCAGTGATACTTCAAGGACTAGAAAGCAGAATACAGCAAATTCTTTATTCACGCAACAAAACTATAGCAACTTTCGTAAGTTTTACCTACAAACAAGCAAGCAGATACAAATAGAAAAAATATGTACATTAGTATATGGATTCTTAAGTATGAACATTGTTTAATTTATCTGTCTAGACATAATTGTTATATCAGATTCTGATTATCCTGGCAGCTAGCATTCTAAGACACTTGCTCACTCCTCATTAGCATGCACAGTCCAGTGGACTATAATTGTACTTGTCTAAAAGAGCAAGGGGAATTTCCCTGGTACAATATATGAACCTGTAAACACTGTATATAGCATCTGTATTGTCACAACCAGTGGAAGAATAGCTCTTTAGTAGTCATGATCTAAAACTGGATCGGGATCACTGTCCTTTTTCCTCCCAGATGAAGCGCGAGAGAGGCCTGCCCCTGTTCGACATCGATGCTGCGGTGGCAGCGAGCATCCAAGAGGCCACGGGGACGACAAACACGACAGACGGCGCCTGGCCGGAGCCCTTCAGTCCCTCCAGACTACAGGGCCTGGTGTCCAGGTCGTCTGGGGACTTCCGTATCCTGGACAGGTTCCAGAGCAGGGCCCACACAGTGAAGGCACAGGGTCAGCAGCCCAGGACGTTCCTGAACAGACTGGTGGGGACAGACGATCAGATGGCAATGCAGAGTATCATCAGTCCTTATACTGCCAGGTAAGAGGGGAGGGATAGGGAGGGGGAGGGGAAGGACTAAAGGTTTGTAGGTGACTGTGTTGTAGTGATGTATAATGTATATTTTTTTCTGTCAACTGTCTTGTTGAACTGCTATACATAGTAATACATACCGGTATTATATGTAAATGTTATCTTCAAGTTCAACTTCTGTTCATGATCGTCATGATAGAAATTTTCTGTGTTGTTTTATTTTCTAAACATCTTTCTACATCATCTTTCTACAACATTTCTACATCATCAAAAATGATTTTTTTTGTCACAAGCACTGTAAAGAAATCTTCTGTATTTGCTTGCAAATGTTGGTTTTGTAGTTGTTGATTGTGTATTTTTGACACAGAGTGCTGAAACCTTACATCAGGAGAGACTATGAGAGCAGACCGCTCAAACTGCGACTGCTGCTGGAAATACAGGCTTATCGACACAGGTATGTGTAGGTACAAGTCAGCAAACAGGTCTGGAGTTACAGGCAAAAGATCATGATATTATATGTTCACATATTTGTACTGCTGCTAACCCACAGTTATTACTTGTTGCAATAATTGTTTTATTGCAAATTCATGCCCGAAGGCTAGTTGCAAGTACAGAAGAAACATTTGGTATAAGAACAGGCAATTATTACACAAAGAACTACTGTTAACTCCTAAAAACTACTGGGTTTGACTTCTTTTTTGAAGACAGAGGAAGACAAAAGATCCCACTTTTTCTGTACTTTGTGGGTTTTCGGATGTTAAGAGGAGAGTAGTTTTCAATAAAGAATGTATCTTGTCTTATATTCCAGGATATGAAGAATACTTGATGGATGAAAAGTATATTTTCTCTAATTTTTATATTGTGCATAGATTGAATGTTTGGTGATGCATATCTTACATATTTGCCTAAGCCTATAAGCCTAATACTGTTACATAACCTGTCATGTTTTTGTGACTTGTTACAGGAAGGACCCTACATGGGCCGCCCCCCCTCCTGCCCCTATAGACTACTGCTATGTCCGTCCTCAGCACATTCCAACAGTCAACGCTCTGTGCAGACAGTTCTTCTGGCCAGGCATTGACTGTGAGTGTCTCAAACCACCACAGGGCATGAACTACTTACTTCTGCCATCCTCAGTATTTGTTATCATGAAAGTTCATCTAACTTGGTAGTTACATGTTTAAAGTTAAAACTTTAGATCCAACACAAAGAAGTTCTCTCACCTAGAGCTTTTAACCAGTCACTCTGGTCTTCCTCAGTAGACTGACCCAGTGAGGCTTGTCACATGGCTTCTTTGAAGTGTGACGTCAACACTGGGTCAAAGGTATCTGTTAGATGATGTCGGCCCCCATCGCGGTTGAGTGAAGGGTGATGGGCCCTGATGTAAATACAATATATTCATACCCTCTTTCACCCCTCTCAGGAAATATTCTTGTTCAGTATCCAATATTCTTACAGTGTCTAGTAAAACAAAATATCCAGGTGACTTGATGCAGATGTATTGTTTTGTATTTGTTGTTTGCCCAAATATTTTACCTGCTGTATACTTCATGGTTACAGTATACGCATACTTTTAGTTCACATACTCATGTCATTGTGTCATAGTTCAATGTTGATAAACCTAAGATTGGGTAAAAGTGCTACTGGTTGAACTTGATGGCACTGTTTCAGCAGCACATACATGTTTTTCTAAGCTTCCTATGATGCCAGCATACTCTTGTGTTTTACTTCTCAGTGTCAGAATGCCTGCAGTACCCAGACTTTAGTGTGGTGGTGCTGTACAAGTAAGTTTGTCTTAGTATGATAGTTTACATTGCAAGTTCATGCCTGAGGGCTAATTGCAACATGAAGCAGTATTAATACAGAAAGAGTATGCAGTACAAGTATGCATCTAAGTGACCTTGGGAACAATCTTTCTTGCAAAGTACTGGAGCAAGACATTTCATCTTCAATCAACCTGTCATAATGCTTCATGTTCTGATACTTACTTCACTTACCTTTTGAACAGTTAGCCAGACTGGCAAGAAATAGGAGACTGTGGAATGTTATACTGAATAGGATGAATTCGAAGTGACTATATTTTAAAGGCATGTTACGTGTAGCATAATAATAAGACCTTATAGGTCTGTTGATGTAAAACATACGTACAATGTGTTGATATTTTTCTCATGTATTACACAGGAAGGTTGTGATTGGCTTCTCCTTCCTGGTTCCTGATGTGAAAATCAACGAGGCGTACGTGTCGTTTGTTCTGGTCCACCCGGAGTGGAGACAGGCGGGAATCGGAACCTTCATGATGTACCATCTCATACAGGTAAGTCAGGCTATGAGTACATGGACAAAACATTTGAAAACCATAGACAGATTGTCATACTTGAATGCACCAAAGTTGATACAACTTTAAACAAGACGTTCTGACAAAGTGCCATGCACAATACACTTTGGGTTTGGCACAGTACATTCTGCAGACGTGCAAATATCAAATACAAGATGTTTCTTTCCTGAACCCCATCAAACACTTGCAAGTAATTGTGAGATGACTTGCACATATAGATAGTAGTATGATAATGATTGTATATGTTATGGGTTTGTCAGGACAATCATGTAGTGTATGTTGTTTTGTCTAACCTTGAGCATCCTCGTAACCTCAATGAAAAGTGACCAGCAGGATGATTTTAGTATTTCAAAGGCTCAAACCTCCCTCCTCCCCCCCTGTGTGTGTTTCAGACCTGTATGGGGAAGGATGTTACCCTGCACGTGTCGGCCACCAACCCCGCCATGATGCTGTACCAGAAGTTTGGCTTCAAGGTCGAGGAGTTCGTCCTGGACTTCTACGACAAGTACTACCCCGAGGACAGCACCGAGTGCAAGCACGCCTTCTTCCTCAGGCTGAGGAGATGAGACCCAAGGAGACGTGGGGGTTCTTGGGAAGTTTCTTATGATTTGGAACACATTTCCTGCCTGCCTCAACAACTTTCAACTTCTGGGAACAAAAAAAGAAAACTTGGACTCTGAAGGGGTCTTTTTTCGTATAAGGCCCAAGAAGCTGTGGGTTTCTTAAGAAGTTCCTTATGATTCCGAACACATTTTCTGCCTCTGTAAACAATATTCAACTTCAGGGAAGAAATAAAAGAACATTTGGCACTCTGAGGTCTTTTTTTCTTATTAGGCCTAAACCCTAGGAAGCTGTGGGTTTCTTGAAAAGTTCCTTATGGTTCCACATGTACTGCCTTTGTCAACAACATTCAACTTCAGGGAACAAAAAAGAACACTTTGCGGAGGGTTTTTTTCTTATTCTGTTCTTACAATTCACAATCAGAATATAGTTTGAAGAATAATAGGTGAGAGGAGGCCTTTATTGTACTTTTTTGCCCCATAGAGCAAAGTACTGGACGTTCAATTGACTAGTACAGGTACAGAAATCCCTAGCCTTATACACATACACAATACACATGTATAATACGTTGCTCTGGGGTACCTGTGATTGAAAAATGTTCCTGACTGGCTGTCTTCTGCGAAAGCCTTTTTTAGCCTCTTCCTCTCTTCTTTCATGTCCTCTGGATTCCACTCTATCTCCAGCTTCTTCATCAGAAGATGCAGCGTCTCTTGTTTGTCCCTCACCAAGGCTGTGTAGTTGACCATGGCGCGGAAGAAGTGCTCTGGATACTTCCTCCGTAACTCCACAGCTCACTGCATGCCGCTAAGCCATCGTGCTACCACGTGGTGGTAATAAGAGCCGTGATAACGAACTGTGGAGAATTTCGGATCGTCTGCACAATCTTTTAAGCCATACGGAACCCCGGGAACCTTTCAAACAGGTTTTTGTCTGTTTGGATGGCCAAAGATTGCAAAAGGAAAATATGAATTCAAAAATGACTTGTGTAGACTGTTGTACACTGTACATATATCATTTTTGACTTAGATGATTTTTTAAAGATTTTTTTTCAAATACTGACTTTTAGTAGTTTTCTTTTACGTAAGGACAAAGCAAGTAAATGTTATGGACGACATCCTCAGCAGACTACAAATCTAATGCGATAGGGTGAAAAAAACACAAGGCGGGCTAAAAAAAACAAGATTCCTACATTTTCATTTTTTTCCAATTCCAATTCTTTATTTCCTTACCAACATTACAGACATACAATATGGAATTATAATGTTGCCTGAATTGCATTGGTATTGGCATTTTACATTATAGACCTTGTTAAGCACGAAATTATACCTGATATTTTGGTAGCCTGGCCTGGCAGGCACCCAGGTTTTTCCGTAAACCCTGTTGTTACCTTTTCTTAATCCTCAGAAAATGTAGGTGACTTGATGAAATAAAGATCTTGTTGATATACAGGCTTCGATGTACTATATACTGTATATATGTACTAAAATAATCAATCCTTCGCTTTTCCATGGGTGTACTGTAGTGTCAAACAAAGCGTATAGTAGAACAGTATTACGGCCATAACTGCAATACTTAATACATGGAACTGATGGTAAGTTCAGCACCAAGGAGAGGTCCACGCTGGTAATGTACATTAACAAATGGGGGGGGGGGCATCCACAAGTTTGGGGATACAAACACTTGCTGTGGCAGAGGGTATCGTGATCATTGGGTTTGGCACAGAAAACAAGTCCAAAATTGTGTGGCAAGAATAATTTCTTTTGATTGGTGGCGGAATGGTGATGGTTAATTATCAAAAGCAATAATGATTAATCTCGCGTCACCCCTATGTAATTATCACATATGGTACGGTCCGTTCGACCAGCTGCAGGCAGCAAGCTGGTGTGACCACGCTTTCGGGGGGCGTGTTGTGCGTGAATTCTCTCCTACTTTTGGGGTAAATTTTCGGCTTTTTGTCCGCACATTATCCGTCTCAAGCGTGCAGTATACCGTCTGGACGTTTCCAGGTCGGATGTGTGCCGTTCTTTGGATGTTTGAGGGAGAAAATTCGTATTTTCCTGGCGCTGGCGGGCAGAGTTTGGAGATTGGAAACGAAAATGGCGACTACCATGGCGGCGTGGCGTGGTGCTGGAAAAGACTAGTTCTTGCGAGGTAAGGCAACAAATTAGCTCCTCGAATGTACATGTTTGTACTTCCAACAAACCTTTGGCAACAGACCACGTTATAATCTGTTATATTCCGTAGAAATTTGCGTTTTGTGGAACGATATGTCGCACACAATTATACGGAGGTTGGTTTCATGACTATCGTGGTTTTGGGGAACGCTGAACGTCTTTGTTCCATGTTGAAAAAAGCTAGGAGAAAATTTTGTTGCTAAAGCTGTTACAAACACGTTTTTTGTTGAAAATTTCCACAGTTTGGCCCAGTGAACACCTTTTGGAACGTACCGCACGTGTGCATAATTAAACCCACTCAACGTTCCCGCCAAAAAAGTCGCGTAAACAAGACTTCCCAAAGCTAAAATTAACTTGGTGCTTATATTATTTACTTCTGAACACCCAAAATTAAATCTGTGCACAAGTGAAAATACATGTAATTTCGGTTTTGTTGCTGGTTTATCCAAAGGCTTGCTTTTGAATTAGAGGTTGTCACATTGGTATTGTACTGGATTTTATACTTAATTGGCAAATTATATCTGTTATAATTTGATATATAATTATATGAAGCGGTCACTGTGGTTGCACTGATTTGATTTTGAGGATGAACTATGCAATTTTGGTTGTATCATTTATAGTATGTGTTACAGTTAGTACTTACCTTTCTAAATTGTTTAATTGTACACAACTGTGACCACCATTTTTGTGGCTTATGTATTTATGTGACAGTGTAGTTTTTGATACAAGTATGCAATGCAATAAACAAACTAGAGGTCGGAGATCTCATGTCTTCGTCAGAGGTACATTGTTCTAGAGAAATGAACAATAATCAATTTGGTCTAAAGTACAAAAGAATCTCTGTACTCTTTTTCATACTACATAACACCCTGAAAGTGTTAGCCACAGATTTTACAGACGCGCCGTCACCCGTGTTAATGTTAGACCCCCACTTTACGTTATTTGATTTCGGACTGTTACTGGAAAAAAAAACTTTCAAGAAATTCTTCTTACTGTATTATGATGAAAGTGTCACGACAGTGTCGCAAAATATAATAAGAGTAGATGTGATAAAGGAAAGAATCAGAACAGGGCGACTACTGCAGCGCTGTTTTGTTAATTTATCTTTATGACGAATAGAAGACTTGTTTCTTGTTACACTGCGTTCTTTTATTCAGCTTGTGTGACTTGTGTCATAACATTTGTATTTCTACAGTTAGTAAATTCCAAATTCCATCTCCTTTTTCAGCCCTTCATATTTTTATTGCGCTTTCACATTAAATCTAAGGTCTCCAGTGGACGTCATCCATAGCAATTACTTGCTGTGACCGTAGAAAATAACCTGTCACATGTCCAACCTATCCTCCCCCTGCTGAACTTATAGTACAATCCCTCAATGTAACGTCATTTGATCCCATCCATTATGGTTTTCCCCGGCTATATCCAGCTGTCGGCTGTCTCGAAGCAGAGGTGGTGGGGGAAGTTCTAAACACAAAAGGTCCGCTACAGTGACAACGAAACCCCCCACAAAGCCCATTAACAAACTTAACCTTGGTCCCAACAATAGTAATGTCTACCAAAAATTATAAGCAACGTTTTACAAATACTTGAGTTATTTTGCTAACAAGCCACAAACACAAAAGGTGCACTAACATGACGCTCGGACCCCCCACGAAGCCGAAACTTGCACTTGACTTCGGCCTTAACAACGGTAATCTGCCTGCCAAAAATCATGGACGTCGAATCATGCCTGCCAGAGTTATATCGCAAAATCAGCAGTTCCCACAATGCAGCAAGACAATTTCATAGTCCTTCTGACGAAGACAATCACTATAGAAACCTTTTCCTTAATCTTAATTTAACTGTGTAACAAAATTCTGTTTTATAATACTCATAGTCATATCTAAGGAAGAATAGGGCGTCATCACTCTTCGCAGCCCCCCATGCGCCGTCATGTTGAGGTACATCCCCAACTCAGCAATGTTTTGCCAAGAAAGTCCATTGAAATTGTTACTTAATGTGCATTTGGTTCTGACTCTTACACACAGATAAGTTCAAGGCTCACAGTATTTCGAGGCCGACAAAGACATAGTTTCTAGATAAGTAGAACTAAGGAGGGTTTAGTTGATGTTGACAAACTTTTTATGATGTGATCGGGAAAGCTTGATTTGAGTGCCAGGGCTGTACGATTGGTTGAGGTTTCTGTTGGACATAGATAGCCAGTGTCTTGTTTCATAGGCCCATTCCCACTAGGGTAAAATTGTCCAGATCAAGCCAGATTGATTTGCTTTGATCTGATCCAAGCGAATCAATTCAGCTCAATCCGGACACTTTTTACCCTTAGGCTTGTACCATAAAAAACCATCACAGAACTAACGTTACAGGTGCCCAATGAATTGTTTTCATGGTTGATCTATTTGTTGAACTAACGTTGTCGTGAGGGCTCCCTAGTTCCTTCGTACGCCGGCTCAATATTATGTACAAAATGCGCTTACTATCCAATCTATGTGTGCTTTACTGGTCCCAGACCAACATTCCACCATGAGGCAAAACACATTCAATTTGATTTTGAAGCACAAGGTTTTGATGGAAAATAGTGCCAGTTGCATCATGTGTATTCCTCATTTCTAAAGTTTGCAGTGTTGTTTTCAATTTTGCCAATTATGCTTAACATAGATAAAGGGTGGTTCTTTTGGGGGAAAATGCATAATATATTTAGATGTTGGTAAACTAGACACTGTAAATGGACCAAACAAACCGCCTACTAGATTGGAGCTTTTAGAATCTTGGAAAAGTGCCTTTTGTTCATATTTTATAATAGTTGTAATATATTATTTTATGAGAATTATGGGCATTACCAGTAAGTACTGATAGTGAATGTTTTGGCAATATGTTTTCCTGTGACAATTGAATTTCTCTTGAGTAACATCAGGGTTTTGATGATGGGACTAAAGTTGAATGTGGTTTATATAAAGTTGTATGTTGTGTGACATAATTTCTTGCTAAGCCAATTGCTGTTTTCTATACACTGACTTTTGTTTCTCCCGTTTTCAAGATGGGGACCCGAAGCCTGGTCTGAGCGGAAGGAAGAACCAAACTTTTACGGACAGAGCTGTGTGAAAGAGGATGGGGAGGTGTGAGTATGGTTTCTTTATTAACGCAAGACAACACTCCACACTGTTGCCTTCAGGTGCACACACTTACACTCGCATTTCTCTCTTTTGCCCAGTTCAGTCTGTATGCCTTTTTCCCTTTGACTTTTTAACTTTAACTGGCAACTTTAATCCCACGTTAGGCATCACTGAAAAATTCTTCGTATTGTGTCTTTGAAAATGCCAAATTGCCCCAAAGTAGTCACTTAAACCTTTAAGTTTAACTTAAATCCCACCATAGGCATCACTGAAAAATTCTTCGTATCGTGTCGTTGAAAATGCCAAATTGCCCAAAACTAGTCACTTAAACCTTTAACTTTAATCCCACGTTAGGCATCACTGAAAAATTCTTCGTATTGTGTCGTTGAAATTGCCCAAAAATTGTCACTTATAAACCTTTTTTTACACTTCTTTGAACAATTGTGGTTGATTGAAATTATTCTGCCAAAAAAATCTGTTGATCAATTTTCCACTCTCTTACACTGTCTCACATTTCTCTCTTTTGCCCAGTTCACTCTACTCTGAGGGTCGGCATGCCTTTTGTCCATGTGGTCCGGACCTGAAGGAAGAACCACACTTTTATGGACAGAGCTGTGTGAAA